TCACCAGACCTTGTGCCGAAAGCGTAGCCCTTCGACACATCGTCGTGACGATCCCAAACAAAATTTATCGCATCATCCAACTCGCATTCAACCTTCTAGGAAAGCTAAAAGACGAGCTCTACGGTAAGTTTCCTCTACTTAGTGTAATTTTAGTCCTTTTCCATTAGTTTCCTTTAGTTCCATCCTGTCCTGCTCTTAGTACTTTCCATTTCGTCATATTTGGCACCCAGCCATAGCATAGTCAACAGTATACGGTATTTCTCTAACCCCTCCACACTCTAGGCTTCTACCCCTATTGGTCCATAGTGGCTCAGTTCCAAGCTTCCTTGGGTTGTTTCCATCAAACCCTTTCTTCGTCCGTTCATTACCCCTTCCTGCTCAGGCTCATGCCCTAGTGCATAGGCTGTAACCTGAAGCGACTAAAGCCTTTTACGGGCATCGCCTCAGGACCCAAGCCATTGCGCAATGTCGCCCCGCCCCTCGAGACTGGTCGGCTCAATCGATCAATGCTCACCAGTCGTACCAGTTAGCTAGCTGTAAGCAGCACGCATTTCCTTTTCAGTCACCTTTACCCTTGTCAACCTCCTACTAATTAGTGTTTATCCTTACACCATCGTCTCATATCACCTCTATATAACCCTTACCCACTAATTACATAACCCTATTACAGGCAACTCATACTTTGCTAAGTGCTATTTGCTAATTGCTATTTGCTAACTGCTATTCTCTAATCATGACTAGAAGAACTCGTCTATCGAGGGCAAGGGCGGCGATGAAACGCGTCTCGACGGCTACAAGATCAGCCTCGAAGGCAGGTAAGTCTAAAGTTTCCGCTTCTGATCCTAATGTTTCGTCATCGCTTTCATCTTCTCTTTCTGAACTTCGGGTTGGTTCCAGTGCGCCTAGCGACTTTGAGACTGTGGACCTTACGGAACAAGTCACTCAGTCGCTGGCAGAGTGGGACACCATCGTGAAGGGAAGTGAAAGTCAGGTGCAAGAGCCCGCATCGGGCACAGTTGTCACTGTCGAGGACATGGATGAGTCCAGTTCTCTTCAGCCACAGCTGTCTACCGACTCGGGCAATTCACCGCGAGCTGAGGCTCAACCGTTAGAATTAACGTTTGATCCTCAGACTCAGACTATCGATGATTACGCTCGTATTATTCGCAATGCTGGAAAGGCGATGAAAGAAGCTCGCGCAGAATATCTGCGTGAATTCGAACATCTCCGCTTCCAAGTTGAGGGTTTCTGGCACCCGGAAGCATCTCAGCCTCCGGTGGGCAGAAATTCTGCTCCTACTGATGTTTTTCCGTTGCCACCCGTTTCGCCTAACAGCTCATTTTTCGTTAATCAAAACACAGTTGAAGAGCTTACCGCTATTCAACTTCGGGCAGTATTCAATTTCATTAGCAATAATGAAACGGAATACATGCCACCTAAGCTCACTCAACTTAACCAAATGAGCCTCGAAACCCGTGTGTCAGTACTTAGTATCCTTAATTCGCTTGAATTGCTGAAAAGAGTTTCCGACAACGCGACGAAGCTCATTCAACAGTTCGCGAATTGGAGCACAGTAGTGCCAGACGGGTTACTTAGTTATACTTCTCTCACCGCTTGGTCGCAAGAAATGGTTCATGCTCTCACCGCTATCTCTGTTAATAGGGATATCATTCAAGAAGGTATTTTTCCTTGTCTCGCTTCTGAAGATCATCGCGTTAAATTGCAGTCAGGTCTTGATCGTTGTGACGTTTCTATGACGCGTATTCATTCTATTCTAGCGCGTGCCTCAGGCATCAGCGCATTCTTGGTTCGCTATCTACGCACCATCGAAACGGCACAACTCATGATCATGGCAGCATTACCTGAAGGCGAGCTTGAAGCGCACTCATTTTTAAGCGATGTTCGCCAAGCTCCTCCAGGTGATATTCCGCAAGATATCGCTGTATTTACCCAAAACCTTCAATGGTGGAGGGACAATTACATGCACGCTCTTGATCATAGCCAGACGAAGCGTTTTGTTGACCAGGCAGTGCAACAGGTTGCTCAGTACGAACGTAGCCAACAACAGTCTACATCTTCGTCACAGCAATCTGCTGGTTCTTCTCAACAAACCGCTTCTACGGCAAAGTTTAAGTCTGGAGGTTTCCAGACTCAGCAGCAGTCACCGCAGCGTACTTTCCCTAGTAAAGGCTCTTCTCACAGCACTCCAATTTCCGGTGGCCGCATTTCCGCGCCTTCTCGGGAGGATGGACGTGGGTCCATTGTGTCCCCCGGGTCGAGGAAACGCAGTCACGATAGGTCCGGTGGAAGAGC